GGGGTGATATTCATTTATTTAATAAATACTTTTCAATGTCTTTTTATCAGTTCTCGTAGCAGCTCTGTGTCACTTCCAAGTATTAATGGCCATTCAGGAGCAACAGATAGTTCTCAGTCTCCAAGTTCATCCAAGAGACCCAGTAGTGATGGCAAAAGGAAAATGTCAATTACAAAACAGAAACCACAGCAGGTAGAAAGTGTGTGCAGTTACGTAAGACATGAGACTTTTAGGAATTTATACAGAGAATACCAGAAGCTGATACATATGGCACAATCTAGACCATGTTAAGAAGTGTAGAACCTGAGAGCAACACAACTGATTTTAGCTTTAAGAAAATACCTGGATAGAGCATTTTAAGATCAGTAGAACGTTTTAAGTACAATTTTTAGTATGAATTTTTTATAAGGTATTTTTATATTTAGTAGGATTTGTTGGGGGCCATTATGTAAACTACCAGGTAACCGGTAATAATGTATTTTACCCTCAGTAAATAGAGTGTTTGTTTGTTTGTTTGTTTGTTTGCTTACACCATCAATATATTTCACACAATACCTAGTTATTATGTTGTGATATTAAGTAAAGATTACTACTAAATATTTTTTAAGCCCCTGGAAGAATTTACAAATGATTTTGAGACAATGGTCAATTTTTTTGTGGCTCTTATTAAGCTATCATCATGTTAACTTTTTGAATTATGGCTTTTTTCTTACACAATTTTAATTAGCATTTGCGATTTACCATCATGATCATGATATTTCCTTTTAAACTATTATTCAGAAAAATGGTTCACCTCCCAGGAACAGTCCTGCACCAGCCACATCTTCAGAGCTGAACCTGGCAGGAACATCAATAACAAGCACTACCAGGAATCCATCAAACCAAAATACTCATGGAAAGGTAGAAAGAATTAAAAAAATCATGAAAACTGTATATCACATTCTGTGGAAGTCTTACCTCTTGGGTTTAGGTTACTAAATTCAAACCTGCTGGTTTTGCAGGCTTATATATATTCTTTTTTTATGGTCTGAAACCTTCAAATCCATTTATTTGGAATTATAGAGAAGAGTATTACCTTCTGTTTCAGAATCTGAGAAATTTCTGCTACTAGATCCTAAAGCTAAGATCCTTGAATATCATGGCAGTAATTGGAAACGGTAGCAAGTTTTAGATTTTAACATATAGCATCAACCCTCAATTTCATCGTAAAACTTGAACATGATGTCATTTATCTGTGCAGGGTCCATCAAATTCTTAAAATGTACAATTTTTTTCTCTTTAAGAATGTCATTATTGATATGAGAGCCATGTTGAATAATGCAGTCAAAGGTGAATATATGGCAGTAACAGATCCCTCAGTAAGTTTACAATTATTGTATTTATTTAGCACAGCATGAAACAAAGATAAGGAATAAGAATTGGAACTTGCCACACACATTGCTTTAATTTACACTTAAGATCAATTCTTTGTTACATTTTGATACAGATTTGTCCATTCACAGTAAATTGTTTGAATCTGAACCAGCATTTCATTGTGTTGTGATATTTCAGTGAAGAGTAGTCCTGAGATAGACTGTTGAAGGTAGTCTAGTGACAGTGCTACAACCTTTAGTTAGTAGAAGTCATTACCACTGGGTCAATTGACTTTTTACCAGCACTCTCAGGGTAGCCTACTAAGAGATGGCGGAGGGAGGGAGGGGTAACCTGTGCTAGACAAAATAGCACCCCCTCCAGGAAAAGGAGCAATACTCCAATAAGTAATTTTATTACACGACTCGGGCAGTGAGAGGGCCAATAACTAAAATCAACCAATCAAAATGCTCTATTGCCGGTCCAATATTCTCTCAGTATTGGACCGGGCACTGTCCCGAATTGTCCGGAATGATACCGCACTTGTGTCCCTTTGAACTTTAGTCGTATAATAAATCTCTTATTAACCAAGCTTGCTTGGGACTGTACTGGAAGAATATCGGCCCTCGGTCTTTTTTGTATGGACCTCGCTGCGCTTGGTCCATACTGTCAAGACCTCGGGCCGATATTCTCCCTGTACGGCCCTCACACTTGGTTAATAAGATATATGTATCGTGCTTTTGATAAAAACTGAGATAAGCATTGGGTGAAGTGGTTACTTAAATGTAGTCTCACCTTTTTTTTAATACTTCCTGCAGCACAGTAGGATTTGTAAACTATATTATTTCATTGACTAACTACATTCTTGTTACTGACATGATGGTTTTTTTTTCTACAGGACAGACTTTTGAAGCCTTTAGGGGGATTTTCTGGGTTTACAGGAGAATGGAGAGACTTGGCTGCTGTCATCAGCAGGGTATGTTTCTGTTACATAATTTGCACTAAATTTAAATGCATGTGTAATTCTTTCAAGAGCTGAACAGTAACTGACATAAATGCCAGTGATTAGACTTCAGGCAGCTTTTCTGTCTTAGCTGATAAGTTCATTTCACAAGTGTAAAGAAATCAGAAGTACAAATGAAGCCATCGTGCAGAATATTTGAGCAAGCTGAGTAATGTATGGCAGTATAACCAGCATGAGGGTAACGTCCTTAAGAATGCACCTCTAGACTCAAGTTGACGGATTTTCTCCTACCAAGAGTACTAGATACTCAGGTATACTATAACAAACTAGATCAGCCACAGTGTAAAACCAGCCAGTGCTCCTCCCCACGTCTTTTCTCAGGAAGGAGAGAAGTCAGTACGTGGAGGGGTGAAACTGATGGAGTCTCATCGAGGATCAAACACAGGCCACATTTGTTTGCAGTGCAGCTACTACATGACTGTATATCTCCCTTGGTTGTAACTAGGGAGTACAGTGATATAGAAATTGTATGTGGTGTTACGTATGTACAATCAATTTGATTCAATCTGTAAGTGGCGATTCCTTCTTACAGGATATTTACCTTCATGACCCTGACATAAGATGGGATGACATCATTGGCTTAGATGCCGCTAAGAGGCTTGTTAAAGAAGCTGTGGTCTACCCTATCAAGGTGGGTCTGTCACCTGTCATTCTGTGTCTTAATGCCGGTCATTATAAAGAACTGAAAACGTGTTCCCGTGTTCCTATCATCCTACTGTAAAGAAGTTCCAGTATTTCCCGGAGTACCTCTACCTCAGAGAAAATTTTGACAGCTTTAAGTGACCTTCACTAAGCTCCAAAAAATTTCCCAGTTTCTGAACCAATAAAAAAAATTGGGCAAGCTGGTGCGTTATTTTGGGGCTCTAATAGTGTCATTCAAACGTCTGCATTGCGTCTCTACAAAATTCAGATTTACGCCATGCTCCAATTCAGGTGAAAGATACAAGGTGTAACAGGAGTTTATTGGTTATTGAGTTATGTATTTATAAATTTCTTCTTCTTTCTTTTTTTTTTTTTTTTTTTTTTTT